TAGACATTGTCTCTGGTTCAGATAAATCTCTCCAAGATTTATTCTGATTCTTCCCAGACCTCTGCTGGTTCAGTTTAAATCTCTCAATGGTTTATCCCGATTCTTTCCCGTAGACATTTTCTCTGGTTCAGATAAATCGCTCCAAAGATTTATCCCGATTCTTCCCAATTAAAGAATATTCAAGACTTCTGCTGGTTCGGTTTAAATCTCTCAATGGTTTATCCTGATTCTTTCATGTAGACATTTTCTCTGGTTCAGATAAATCGCTCCAAAGATTTATCATGATTCTTCCTAGTTAAAGAATATTCAAGACCTATGTTGGTTCAGTTTAAATCTCTCAATGGTTTATCTTGATTCTTTCCCGTAGACATTTTCTCTGGTTCTGATAAATCGCTCCAAGATTTGTTCTGATTCTTTCCAGTTAAAGAATATTCAAGACCTCTTCCGGTTCAGTTTAAATCTCTCAATGGTTTATCCTGATTCTTTCCCGTAGACATTTTCTCTGGTTCAGATAAATCGCTCCAAAGATTTATCCTGATTTTTTCCAATTAAAGATTATTCAAGACTTCTGCTAGGTTCAGTTTTAAATCGACCAAAGATTTATTCTGATTCTTTTCCCAGTTAAAGTCAAGCTTGGACTTAGACTAATTTCTGTCAACAATCACCTTTGGATGGCATCTATAAGCCCATCTCCGCCAACTCTCCATCATTTCTCCAAATGGCATCTTTAAGCTCATTCCTTAAACCTCAACCACAATATCATCAAGTGCAAATTTCTAGGCACTCTAGTGTCAATCATCTTCCACCTTCAAGTCACGAATGGCAGATTCGCCAATCTAACTCTTCAGGTTTAAGAAGATTGAACAGGGGCAGCTGTTGTACCCCAAAATTTGCCCTCTCATTCCTCAAGACATTTCTCAAAGGGGCTCCCAAAACTTAAGCTTACACAAATATATTTAGACTTTTCAGCATCAAAATTAAATAAGAGATTTCTAAAAAGAACCAAACAGATGAAAATGCTCTTTTTGAAAAAATTAAAGGAAAAGCAAGTTCCTTTCGATTTTTGCATCCTTCGATTGGACACTTTGGTCTTGTTTGCATCTTTCGTTTAGGTGTTGGATTCCTTTGGGGCAAGTTCATTTCATGCTTCGATTGAGGCATTGGGATCATTTGGCTAAGATCATTTCCTATTTCGTTTTAGCGCTAGACATCACTTGAATGTCTGTGCAAATATTTTGTTTGGCCACACGGCATCTTCCCTGCGTGTTAGCCAAGACATACAAGGCGGAATTTCCTACCGTAATAACATGCACAAGGCTAAAGTCCCCTTTGAAGAAATTTGTTGCAAGCTTCGATAGGGCAACACTTCCTATCAAACAGCTTCAATTCACAAGGAAAAAAGCCTCCTGATGATGTCCTTCGATTCAGGAGGCCAAAGCCTCCCTTCTACCATTTTTAGATCACACGTTTTGCCCCCTACAGGCCTCCTTCATTTGGGTCAATGGCTTTCCCAATATTGCAAGCTTCGATTGAGCCTTTCATCCCTTGCATGCATCTTTCGTTTGGGGGTGTGAATCCTTCAGCACAAGTCTTTAGTCATGCCTTTCGTTTGGGCATGTGGCTCCGCTTTTACAAGCTTTCGTTAGAACATATTTGCATAAGGTCACAAGGCAGGAACCTCATGCACACACTCTTTTGTTTGGCCATATGGCCCCTTTACAGGAAAATTTGAATGGGCGGGATCTCCTGTGGAAATGGCCTGCTTCAAACACACAAAATATGTACCATGCCATTGTCTCATGCGAAGGAAGTACCACGGTGGTGCATTCGAAGGGATGGCCAGGCATGTCTGGATGTCCCAATTGAATGACATATTTTACTGGCCCATCCCAAGAGCACGCATCTGGACCATTCGAAAGAACCCATAAAGGGCCTGGTCGAAAGGCACTAATTTGGCCCTTTCAAAGGACGTCCACATGAGCCATTCGAATGACACTTCAATTTGAAAAACAGAAATGGTTGTTGAAGAGTCAGGTCGAAGGACAAAGCTAGGGGGTCAAGACAAAAAGTTGAGATGCCAAAGGTACTTGTTGACCAAGTCCCATGCGCTGCCAGGATCAGGCCTGATACGCTGACCATAAAAGTCCAACACTGTTGCACAGCAGTCCTGCAATGCTGCCTTATTCCTTGCAGCAAAATGGCATAAAAACACTGTCCCTCGAAAGATACAAATACATCATACCTTTTTTGTTTGAACCTTTTGTTTCCCTCCCAAAACATCAGCCCAAGCCATCTATAAATAAGAGACATCACCACACATGTTAGGGGCGCCTGAAGGATTGCAAGAAAACACTTGTGAAAATTCTCAAAAATTATCAAACACTTCCCAACATTCTTTTTCAAACACTTCTATACGCTAAGAAAAAACCTTCGATTCACCCTCCAAGTGACAATCAAACTACACTTTGATCCACTCCCACAGCTACCATACAGTAGGCCTTTGAGTTATCCCATCACTTGTTATAAAAGAGCCTTCGATCCACTCACACAACCTCTTTTGACCCAGTCACCGCTTTCACAAAGTTGCAACTGGACTAGCCCCAAGAAGGTCCCAACGAACTCCCATTTTCCGTTAAAGAAAGCACTTACATCTCCCTTCGATTTAAGGAATTCAAGAGGTAAGTTTATTTCAAACTTGAGTCTATTCTATTTTAATATCATGTGCACATGCCAATAAAAAAATGTAGACATTTCTAGACCATGTTTTAGCTTTGATTCTGACTGCCTATATGCTGAAAACTCAACCTTAGTTAGTTATGCTTTGGACTTTGAGACCCATTAGTTTTTATGCTACCCCCCTGGACTGTAGTTATGTTTGGAAATCACATTTTTTAGAATTTAAGACAGGTTTGTTATACCCTTCGATTGGCTAATTGCACAAGCCTTTCGAATCATAATCTGAGGGCCCAATATGCTTACAAAGAGTCAGCAAGAAGTCTGTGGCGAAGCATGAGCTTTGTTGCTCCTAGGCCTCAAATGAAGGCCATAACCTTGTTGTCTTAAGGCCTCAAACAAAGTCCATAACCTTGCTATCTCCAAGTCTCAAGTGAAAGGCAAAACTATGCTGACTTCCAGGCCCAGACGAAAGGCATGACTATCCTGATTCCAACCCTAAGTCGAAGGAGACAGAAAGGGAAATCTAATGGCAGGACTCCACTGACTTCAGAACCCAAATCGAAGGGCATGATTCTAATGACTTCAGAATCCAAATCGAAGGAAGCCAGGAAATGCAGAATCGAAGGGTGTTTCTGCCCAAATCGAAAGATCCATTTTTCTTGCTTTTATTTTATGTTTGCCTTTATATTTCCATGAAATTCAATATGGTTATAATAGTGTAGGGTTTATTTTTTCATTTTTATTTCTTTTGTATAAATGCTAGTAACTAGGATGTATGGAAAGATAAAAACAACAAGTAGAAAACCAAAAGTTCAAAAGATAAAATGCATGCAATCAAATACACTTCTCACACACATGCACCCTTAGGGTAATTCCACTTGTTGCCTCGGAAAAATAGTCATGTCCCTCGAATATGGGCGTTTTAGCAAAAACCCTCGATAAATGATCGTAGTCCCTCGATGTCCCTCAATGTTGCCTTTGGTAAACGATTTAGTCCCTAAACGACATTGCTAAAACGTCCCATTTGGTTGCCTTCTATGACTATACATACGTCCCATGCCCGTCCCTTCACATCCAATGATGGGGCTTCTTACCAAATCAATGGTAAGATAGCAACATCTAAAGGAGAAGGAAAAGAATGTTAAAGACCTTTTGAGTAGGTAGGATGCTCCTAGTTGCTCGCTTGCTCACAACAAAAACATTTTATACACCCACAATTTCACTTTGAAACATTTTTAAAGACAAAACACTTTGTACGCATTCTTATAGAGACGAGAACCATTACAAAGACACTCCTTTTCAAAATACTTTCAAAACCCACATCACAAACACACTTTCAAACAAAAAGCAAGTGATCTAGCAAGCAACTAAGAGCCCATATATAACTATGGATGAAAAGGGTGCTAACACATTCCCTTTTCATAACCTACCCCCCGAACTCAAGAAACAATCTCGAAAGGTCTTTCCTATTCTTTTAAACTTTCCTTATTGGATAAAAGAAAAGTCGGTGGCAACTTTTTCTATCCGCAACAATTGTAATCAAACGCAAAACACCCAAGTCAGTTCTTCCACCGCGTTACATACTCCCCCTGTCCCAAATTATAAGAGAAATTTAATTTTTAGATTCATTGAATAATAAATGTATCTAGTCTATATATAGACCAGATACATTAATTATTCAATGAATCTAAAAAATTAATTTCTATTATAATTTGGGACAGAGGGAGTACAATGTTATAATCTAAATTTGAGTGAAAGTGTGAGGAAAAATGCCTTGAGCAGGGTTTACATATACAAGGATCCTTGACTTTCAAATCCTGCCAAATTACTGATTCATTTGTTTATTTATGATGTTCTGTTGTATAAAGATGGCTATGATATTGAATGATACTCTATCTTACAGAATCTTGTTGCTTAGTTATTCTTTAGACTATTACTTCTTCTATTTTAAAATGAGTGTCTCTTAAGGTTTTTGTACACAGATTAAGAAATGCAATGATAGTGTCATAAAACATTGCACTTTTATTAAATTAACCTGATTAATATATTGAGAATAGTGTATAGAGTAAGAATTAAATGACACATTTGGAAAAATAGTAATCATTTATATATTGAAAAGTGAGAATTACATTTATTTTGAAACAATTTTTTTCTCTAAAACAACACTCATTTTGAAATGGATGGAGTATATATCATGTCATGTTCTTGCACTGAAATCCATTTTTTTAAGTTATTTCTCATGTTTTATAATGTGTTTCATTTTGTTTTATTTAACTTAAAAGCATGCATGCATCTGACAGCTCAATTTATTTCTCCAATATTTGATGTATCCTTTTGAAATGGAGAAAATTATCGGTGCACAAGGTTAATAAATGAAGGAAAGGTAAGAGAGAATATATTTACTACAATGACGGCTAGAAAGCTTACAAAAGGAATGATTGAATAATAATTATTGTTATTGTTACTGTTACAAATGACAGCTACTACTAGTCTATTTATACACAAAGTAAATTGCCACGTAGGCCCTAATAAAAGGTAAACTTAACGACTAAGTTAAAAGGTACAAACTAGGAAATACTAAACTTAACAGCTACGCTAACAAACTCAGCTCCAAAACTCCAGAAGCTAAGCATACTTATGAGCGTAACCTCAGAAGCTTTTGCTTCTGACTAATAACCTCAGAAGCTTTACTGCTTTTGAGCAACACTGATTCTTCCAATAGCTTATAAATATGTATTACTTCCAACACCATCCCTTAGTTCATATTCAGCTAACAAAAAAAACTACAACACCAGTTCCATCCCTCAAATGGATAAGGTGTTCAGTCTTGACATCCTTAATCAGAACACCTGCAAGTTGCGTTTGGTTGCTACAGTGTGCAACTTCTAATACTCCATTTAGAAATGTAGATTTCACCTTGAAGACCCATTTGACACTGATGTTTTTCTTCTCCTCCTGAAGCTCAATTAACTTCCAAGCACTACAAGAAAATTAGGATTTTACGACACAAAAATTGCGACAGTTACTTAATAACCGTCGTAATTCTAATATAGGGACCCATGTCACGACGGTATACACCTACCGCCCTAAAATGAATGTTGCGACGGTTAAGAAACCGTCCTAAAATAGACATCACGACGGTAAAACAACCGTCGCCCCCCTAAACCTTTAAAAAACATGCAAAAGTTATGAAAGGGCACGACGGTAACCACACCCGTCGTCCCCCTAAATCCTTTACCCCGCTTCGTCTATTACGCTTTACTGCAATTTAAACCCAACTATTTCAAACCCAATAACACCGAACTTCACTCCATCATTTCCTGCATCACCTTCACCCCCCATGTTACTTACCGTGTTCTTTCAGACCCTATTCTCCAACCGCATTCCTGTTTATCCTTTTTCCACTTCCTCAAAACCCATCATTCCAACCATTCACTCAAACCTGACCTCAAGGCCCATTTGATTCTCTTTTCTAGACTCTTTAAAGCTCGCAAATTCGCCACCATCAAGACTATTCTGAATTCCGTTGTTACTGATTCCCAATTTCGCTCCCCAGTTTCGGGGATCGTTGATTTGCTTGATGAATTTGAGTTTCATTTTGTTGACAAGCTTTGTGATATGTTGTTTAGGGTTTGTTCTGATAATAGGTTGTTTCCAGAGGCGGTTAGGGTTTTTGATTATGTGGAGGAAAAGGGGTTCGTGATAGAGGAGAGGTCTTGTTTTGTGCTTTTGCTTGCTTTGAAGAGATGTGGTGAGATTGAGTTGTGTCTTAGATTCTTCCGCCGGATGGTTGAGTCTAATGGAATTGAAATTAGGGTTCAGTCTTTGACACTTGTGATTGATGGCTTGTGTAAGAGAGGAGAGGTTGAGAAAGCTAAGGAGTTGATGGATGAGATGGTCACTAAAAGCATTGTGAAACCGACTGTGTTTACTTACAATACGTTGTTGAATGCGTATGTTGGAAGAAAGGATCGAAGTGGAGTTGGTGAGATACTGAGGTTGATGGAGAAGGAGCCGGTTGTTTTTAGTGTGGCGACTTATAGTATTTTGATTCAGTGGTATTCTAGTTCTGGTGATATTGGGGAAGTGGAGAAGATATTCGAGGAAATGCGTGAAAGAAAAATAGAAATTGATGTTTATGTTTATTCGTCCATGATAAGTTGGAATTGTAGGTTGGTAAATATGAAAAGGGCATTTGCGTTGTTTGATGAGATGGCTCAGAGAAATGTTGCTCCTAATGCACATACTTACGGCGCGTTGATTGGTGGTGTGTGTAAGGCTGGTCAAATGGAAGCTGCGGAAATCTTGTTGGAAGAGATGCAAAGTAAGGGAATTGACCTAAATATGATAATATTTAACACGATGATAGATGGCTACTGCAAAAGAGGAATGATGGATGAAGCTTTGAGGCTGCAAACGATCATGGAAAGGAAAGGATTCAATGCAGATGTGTTTACATTCAACATTCTTGCAAATGGGCTATGTAAATTGCATAGGTATGACGAAGCCAAGTGTACTTTAAATTCAATGGTAGAGAAAGGAGTGGAACCAAATGTTGTGACTTTCACTATGTTTATCGAGATATATTGCAAGGAAGGAAACCTTGCTGAAGCTGAGAGGTTCTTTAGGGATATGGAGAAAAAGGGAGAAGTGCCTAATATTGTTACATATAACACTCTCATTGATGTGTATTGCAAGAAAGAAAAAGTGAAGCTAGCACATTTGACAAAATCTGAAATGATAAACAAGGGGTTATTGCCAGATGTGTATACATACACATCGCTAATACACGGGGAATGTATTGTTGGCAGGGTAGACGAGGCGCTTAAAATTTTCGATGAGATGAGGTCAAAGGGGATAACTGGAAATGTCGCAACGTATACATCACTTATTTCAGGTTTATCCAAGGAGGGGAGAGCAGATGAAGCATTTAAGTTGTATGATGAGATGATAAAAATGGGCCTAATACCTGATGATAGAGTTTTTTCCGCACTTGTTGGTAGTCTTCACAAACCTCTCACTCATGCTGGTCTAAAACAAAATGAGTATGAGGATCTGAAGTAGACACTTCAGGCACTTCATTAGGGTCAAATATATGTTAGTCAAATGCACATAGGTAGGAAGTAAAGAAAAGGGCGGGTAAGGGTGTGAGAGAATGATGATTTTGTCCTTGAAACTCAAGCAAGAAGACCTGTGTAGGGGAAAGTTGATCTTCAACACCAGATTACTGACATAAAAACTTTTGAGCTGAAACTGAAGTTTGGATTTGGCTTACACGGCAGGGTTCACATAACAGAGGTAACTCTACTGCATCTACTGCTGCCAATATTTGAACTAGCATTTTAAGTTGTAGATTTGATGTATAAAATGAGCAGGCTCTGTTGTTTTGAGTGTGTAAGATATATGCGGCCTTACTCTGATATGATGTGCTTTTTCTGGAGCAGGAAGTTGTGACCAAGGCCACATGGCCGTAACCTTAATAATGCAGCAATGCCTATCTCTTTTATTTTGTCTATTTAACTATTTTAACATGTTCCTCAATAGTTTGGTACCTACTTATTGACAGGCTATCTTGTTGGTTGCCATGGCTACTTCAGAAGACATGAGAATCAATGCAGAACATATCAGAATAGCTGATCAGTTTGTGGAAGTACCTGGTGGGACCAATAACAATAACTACGCTAATGTGCAGCTTATTCTAGAGGTATGTGATGTCGACTTCATGAGATTACTGCAGTTTATTTATTCTTGTCATTTAAATGATTTCAGTGCTTATGTAATTGTGATTATTTTGATCTGCATAACTTGTTAATTTTGCTGACGGCAATGCAATGTGTTTTCCAGATTGCCGAGATAACTCATGTTGATGCGGTATGGCCTGGTTGGGGTCATGCATCAGAGAATCCTGAGCTACCAGATGCATTAAAAGCAAAAGGAATTGTTACTAGTTACTACACCAAATTGTCAAAAGGTATGAAAATTTTCTGTTACTAGTTACTACACCAAATTGTCACGATGGAATGAATCTCGGTAATGACATAATCAATCATCTGGAACAGATTATTGAGGAGGGTCCGATTACTGTAGCACCCCCAGAAACGGTGAAAGAACTTGAACAAGCGGCTAGAAGATTAGCTATATCTGTAAATTATGTTGGGGCAGCTACAGTTGAGTATCTTTTTATCATGATGACAAGCTAGTTTTATGAAACATGTTTATTATGCAGAAGTAACACTATTATAATATTTTATCTCAGGCATCAGACTACAGAGATAACAAAATTCACACTGGATGGCTAGATAGTAGAATTGCAATGCGGGTTAGAGCAGAGAGACCTCCTTGGTATCTGTCTGTTGTTGGAGGGGCACTCTATGTAAGCAAACTTTCTTATTCTTAATTTTATCATTTTCTCCTCAAGTTTTTGGTATTTTCTCACGTTCAAATTCATGATCTGTGGCTTCTTCTAATTAATACAGAAAGCTACTGCTAGTAGTGCTGCTTTGGTTTCAGACTATGTTGGCTATCTTGAGAAGGGGCAAATCCCTCCTAAGGTATTATATCCAAATGGGAAAACGTGTATCTAACTCCGTGCTTATTTTTTAGTGATACTAATGTTTTTTTTTATAATTATGCCAGCACATATCTCTTGTCCGTTCTCAAGTGTCCTTAAGCATTGAAGGAAGCAAATATACTGTATGTAATCTTTCTTAGTAATTCCCTTACCTTTTTTGGGGACTTACGCTATCATATGCAATGCTCAATTTGCATGACTCATCTTCCAAAACAATTATGTAGATTGACATGATACGAGGAGGACCTGGGAGTTATAAACTGAAATTGAATCAATCAGAGATAGAAGCGGAGATTCATACTTTACGTGATGGAGGTTTGTTGATGCAGGCAAGTATTACTCTCTGAACTATCTATGCATTTGAACTTTTGTAGCTCTCTTCATTGGATTATTACTCAATATAGTCAATTTTATAGCATGAGTTTCTTTGATTTCTTAACTGTTAGTTTCCATTTGTTACAGTTGGATGGAAACAGTCATGTAATATATGCAGAGGAAGAAGCAGCTGGAACTCGCCTTCTAATTGATGGAAGGACTTGCTTGCTTCAGGTGAAACTAATTTATTTCTACCCTTTAAAAATTTGATTTCTTTTTAAGGTGGCTGAGGTGACTAAACCCCTTTCATATGCAGAATGATCACGATCCATCAAAGTTAATTGGAGAGACTCCATGCAAGCTTCTGAGATATTTGGTTGCAGACGACAGTCACATTGATGCAGACACACCATATGCTGAAGTTGAGGTCATGAAGATGTGTATGCCTCTTCTCTCCCCTGCTTCTGGGATTATTCATTTCAGAATGGCTGAAGGTCAAGCCATGCAGTTTGGATGTTAATACCAGAAAAATCAACATAGATGCCGGTCAAGAAGAAACAACAGTAGAGACAATCTTGGAAGAACTGGCACAGGAAATCCATTCCTCTGTTGGTGTAAGAATGCATAGATTAGGAGTTTTTGTATGGGAAGTGAAGCTCTGGATTACAGCATGTGGACAGGCAAATGGTGCTTGGAGGGTCATTGTAAACAATGTTACTGGTCATACATCCACTGTACATGTAAGTTTTTTAGTTTCTTAAAAATTTAAAGGAAAACTTCCTGCATGCTCTTCCCTCTCAGATTCATGATTTTTAAAATTTAGATATATCGAGAAATGGAGGATGCCACCACTCATAAAGTGGTTTACAGTTCAGTCACAGTAAAGGGTCCACTGCATGGTGTACATTAGATATTTCAATTCAAAAAGATTTTGGTGAAGATGGGACTATTAGTAAACTATTGTTCTTCACGCGGCTGCTGTGATGGAAAGCCACAAAGATGCTGTTCTTTTGATGGAAGCCGAGATTTCTTCATATTTATTCGTTTTATGTTTTAAGAGGACTTGGGGTTATAAAGAGGTGGAATAGTAATATTGTGAGGGAGAGGAGGGAGAATGATGCCAGGAGATGGAGTTCTACAGTTATTGTTTTTCGTTTCTATTCAATTTATCGTAGGGGAAACATGTCAAGGACGAGGAGAAGTGGAGATTGCCGAAGCTACTATGAGGGTTAGTTCGTAATTGATATTTCATTTCCATGGTCTCAAAAAGGAGTACATTGGGAGAAGATTCAGAGGGATCACAAAACAGAAGGTGTGAAGAGGTGATGTTCCCTAACTTTTCCACTATACCATAATAGTAGAGAAGCAAAATCTATTCAATTTGTAATGAACATTTAGTTGTCTCCTGAATTTGGATTCAAATGATAGTTAGTTTTTAAGCTGAAACTTAGCTGTCTCTTTAATTTCTTTGTTTTTATTTGTTTTCTTTTTCAGATGTGTTGTTGCATCATCTGATTTTAGAATTTATTGCTGTTGTTAACAAATTGTGAGATGGTTAATAAATGCTAGAATATGCATGGACCATGTAGTGTCTATGTCCTTCGTTTTCTGAATGTGGAATTATTGCCAAGTTATATTTATTAATCATGTGTGGAAAGTGTTGTTCAAGTACACGTTGCAGGCCCCCTTTCTTCCCTTGGTATTCTATTTCACAAGCCTTGAGGAATCTCTTTATCAGCTATGAAAAAGAGAGTGATGGAGAGGTTACATAACTCAGTTGAAAAGTTTCTAGAAGTTAGAAGTTTGTTTAAACTTGCCCTAAGATATTGCTTATGTTTTGTGTGAATCTTGCAGGCTGCTAGGTATGCGTAGCTTGGACCAAATGGTAGTCAAGGAAGGATCATGGTCCTAGCATGGAAGTTTAACACAAAATCACTTAACACTAAGGACTTTCATGAATTTTGTAGAATATTGTAACATTTTTTGTAATTCTCTCAAGTTGTAGCAAACCAATGTAAATATTAAAATGAAATTTGGCCTTTGATGATATTTGAATTTTTCTTGTTTATTGGTAAAATTTGCACTTCTTTTTACCTTTGATCACATTTTTTTGATATTATTGATGATTATTTGATATTAAATGTTTTTATTGTAATTAACTTTATTATGTTGAAAAGTGATAGAAAATAAAATAAAAATACTATAAATAAAAAAATATTAAAGTAAATAATAATTTAAATATAATAGTAAAATATTATAGTAAAATAATATTATATTTAAAATTATTTTACTAAATAATAATTTAAATAAAAATATTATTTGAAATTTATAAATCAGATTACGACGGTTAAAACCGCCGCAATTTCTAACCTACGGCGGTAGAATAACCGTCGCAAACAACAACAAAAACAAAAAATAAAGTCAAATTCACGACGGTATATAACCGTCGCTATCTGTTGTGCGTGACAGTTTTGCAACCGTCGCGAAATAGGCTGGGGACGCACGATTCTGCGACGGTACTTCTACCGTCGTAGATTGTAAATTGCGACGGTTTTAACCGTCGTAATCAGCCAAAATAACCGTCCCAATCTATCATTTTTCTTGTAGTGAAGTCTTGTTTCTTGCAATATCATCAAGCTCTTCTTTCATGGCCTTCAGCCACACTTTCTTCTTGGGAGCTTCACAGGTTGACAACGCAACCATCAATTGCTTCTTGGAGCACCAAGAAATAGGACTTTCCAGATACAAACAAAAATATCCAGAATTATTTATCATGTCAACTTTATCTTCATACCAATCAGAGTTTAGATAGCATATCACCTATGCATCTAATCTAACACTAGAAGGGAATAACACTCTATACCTCGAGTCTCTTCAATATCTTTTCGCTTGTCAAACTATACAAATCTTCTTGGTATATTTCTGACTCTATGTGGTCTCTAAACTTGTTTAGAATCTCCTTACGATTTTAGAACAATATCTCTTTCTGGACTTTCTTTAGAAGTTTGACTACCACCATAAGTTCCACCTTTGTTAGCTTCTGGACCTCGTTCGGAACCATTACCTTTAGAAACACCATCTTCAAAATTTGGTTCACCTTCAGAAGCTCTGCCTTCAAAAATTCCACTTTCAGAATCATGATCATCGTCAAAGATTGGATTACCTTTAGAAGTTCCTCCTTCAGAAAGTCCACCTTCAGAGACATGATTTCCACCAGAAACATGATCATCTTCAGTAGCTTGTCCTCCAGAACCTACGTCTTCAGAGTTTTCCCTTCTAGAAGCATGACCACCACCAGATTCAAAATCTAGATCAGAATCAGATTCCCCATCTGACTCATCTTTAGAGTCTCCGGAAGATTATTCATCCTCTGACTCTGACTCGCCTTCAGAACTTTCAAGTTCCGACTCATCTTCAGAAGCAGAATCTCCTTCAGATTCTGACTCATCTTCTTATTCTTCTTCAGACTCAGAATCATCTTTGAATTCTGACTTGTCTTCAACTTCAGAGTCATCTTCAGAAACCTTAAATTTCGACTCATCTTTAGAATATTTAGCATCATCTTCTGATTCTGACTCATATTCAAACACTCCTTCATAGTCAGAATATTCAGAGTTATCTTCTTCCCCTTCAGAATCAGAAAATGACAATTTCATAGGTTCCTCATCACATTCATAATCCATTAATAGCACAGGTTCATCATCAGAATCTCCTCTGACTATTTTTGCTTCTTCTTTGTTTGACCAACAATCTTTAGCAAACTGACCAAATTGCTTACAACAGTAAAACTGAACCATTCTATTGTTATACTTCTCCTTTCCCTTCTGATGTTTCTTTTCATCAGAATAGAAGACTTATGACTTCTAAGACCTACCATATTTTCCCTTATCCTGGTTCTTCTTAACAAAAGAAGCTTTCAAAGCATGCTTAACTTCCCTCTCAGAAGTTCTTTCAGTCAGACGCAACTCTTGCGCCTCTAGACTGCTTTGCAGCTCTTCTATTCTCATGGTGTCCAGATCTTTAGAATGTTCAATTGCTACAACAATGTAATCAAATTGAGGAGTAAGCAACCTCAATACCTTCTCTATGATTACTTGTTCAGAAAGGGTTTCTCCACAAGCTTTCATCTCACTAGTGATTATAATCACTCTAGAGATGTACTCAGAAACCTTCTCATTGTCCTTCATGTTGAGATTCTCATACTGATTTCTGAGAGACTGAAATTTTACCTTCTTCATTGATGTGTCACCACCATAACACCTACTTAGTGTGTCTCACGCAGCCTTCGTCATCGTCGAATCAACAATTTTCTCAAACACGTTCTCATCCACACACTGATGGATGAAGAACAACGTCTTCTGATATTTCTTCCTTGTATATCTCTGTACATTTCTCTGTTCCTCCGCCGCATCTGCTGCATCTGGAACATAACTATTTGCAACAAGCTCAAGAACATCCTGAGCACTAAATAGCACACACATCTGAATCATCAAACGATTCCAATTTTTGTCATTAAATACTGGAAGCTTGGTGCTTAGACTATCATTTCCGGTCATCTTCAATCTTGTACAGAACACTCAGATCTCACAAACACATTGTTTCCCAATCCCACAGAATCAGAAATATGTGATTCTGTTCAGATTTTGTTCAAGATTCAACATGAATTCAAGAACCAAAATCAATCACAACGCCTCATGTTTCACTCGTATTTCCCGTGTTTCTCTGTGGATCAGAATCGGAGCTATAAATACCAATTTGTTGGTGCACAAGGTTAATAAATGAAGGAAAGGTAAGAGAGAATATATTTACTGCAATGACGGCTAGAAAGCTTACAAAAGGAATGATTGAACAATAATTGTTGTTACTGTTACAAATGACAGCTACTACTAGTCTATTTATACACAAAGTAAATTGTTACTAGGCCCTAATAAAAGGTAAACCTAATGACTAAGTTAAAAGGTACAAACTAAGAAATACTAAACTTAATAGCTAAGTTAACAAACTCAACTCCAAAATCCTAAAAGCTAAATATATTTCTTGGCATAATCTCAGAAGCTTCTGCTTCTGACTAACAACCTCAAAAGCTTTACTGCTTCTGAGCAACACTGATTCTACCAACAGCTTCTGAATATGAATTACTTCTAACAAAAATGACCGACACTTATATTTTATGTATTTGGTGGTGCTGATTTTTCAAATGTATTATTAGAAGAATAATGGATTGTATTTTGATTATTTTATCTTGCTAAATAATTATCATTTACATTAAAATAATAATTGGGATGATTATGCTAAATGTTATTGATATTGTTTTAAATGAGTTTTGTGGATCACATAAGAAAGTCTAATATTTATTTTTTGGTTAGCGAACTTACTTAGGTGAGGCCTATGTATATCAATGAAATTTTATTATATAAAATTAATTTTTAAAATTATATATTAACATAAAATTTTAAGATATTGAGTCTATGTCTTTTCTCACTTAAAAAAAAGTTTAATATCTTATTTTTTATCAAATGTGAGAATCATTACTCACACTTGATATACCAACATCTTATATTTAAAAATTAAATTATATATTATTTTTTTATTTTACTTTGATTCTTTAAAATTTTAAATTAATATATAATTTTAAAATTTTATTTTATATTACAAAATTTAATTGATACACATTATAAAGGATAAATTACACTCAAATATATAAAGGATATCAAAAAATTTACCACTTAAATTTTATAAGAATCTTGGAATAAATAAACTTGAAAGTTCGGTAAATAAAGTAAATGTGCGTTAAAATTTATAAGAGAAAAAATATTTAAAAAGATATTTATTGTAACATTTTTAAATAATAATTAAAATTATTTAATTTTAATAATTATCTAAATGATTTATTTTATAGGAAGGAGATGAAATGTAATGTTGGATTACACTTTTTGAGACGGTTTTCAATGAAATTCCATTTAATTGGATCATATTATTTCTAAAGATCCATCTTGATAGACATAAACATATTTTTACCATTCACTTAAAGACGTGAAGTGGACAATTTCTCGAACCACAATAATATTACATGTTACAATTTCTGAATTTGGATCATGGCACTCAACCTATCATGGTGGCTTTCCACTAAACTTAGATAATTGTTCCAAGACACCACATGATCAATGTCTATGTTTTCTTCCATCCAGTTCCCAATATTATCTCTTAAAGTTGAAAATTTGTTCTT